ACTTTCTCCATAGATTCCTGAAGGAAGACAGCCCGACGACACGTACCGCTGGAAAATAATGTGAGATCAATAAAAGTAGTGCCAATCATGTTGGAGGTAAATTAAATAATAAAAACGTGGTGTTTATGCTTTACATACCAAGAGTTGTCATCGATTCCTTGTAGAGACGCCACACTGCTGCTTTTGTCACATGAGATGGCAGCAGCTTTCCACCAAAGTGTTTGTGTCCTGGGTGGCGTCCTGGTAATACTATTGCATTATCCTCTGCGTAGTTGTTGATGAAGTTCACAACTTGCTGCAAGTCCTCATGCTGCAGGTGTAACCTGTGTTTGCTTGGGCCAGCTCTCTCTTTGATGGGAGGCATTAGACCATTGTCCTTGTATGACTGGTGGAGGAGAGTCAGGCGTGTACTTCTGATGCTGAAAGACAAATTCCAGATACAAATATTTTAGTATTATTATACAGTAGATGGCCGTAATCACTGTCAGACACACATGGCTAACTTGATGGGTCATGTAATCATCTGTCGAAGTGGAGTCTTTTGTTTAGACATATAGCTAGCTAGCTAAACAATGAACCATAATCCCAATCCATAGAGTACTAGCAATACAACCCGATTGTCATAGCTAATTTTCCCCTAACTTCGGACACTCTCTAGCGGTTGGAGGACTAAATCACCTCGAGCTCAACATTTAAATGGACTGGAAAAGAACGGTAAGTTTTGCGACTAACGACACCCTTCTAGCTAGCTGACCACCGATTTTCAGTGCAATTTGTGTAAGTTAAGTTAGGTTTTGAGCGTTTTCAAAAAAGTTATATTTGTACACTTTGTGGAACACGCTGCATATTGTAAAATTTGATTGCGCGACAGACCACACATAATTTAATATCCAACTTTTTACCTCTGAAATATAGCTAACAGATTTTCTAATGTTACTAGCTTAGTTGCTAAATGTTGATAGAACTGCTAAGACAGCAAAAAGGTAAGAAATTGTAAGCGTTAGATAATACATATCACGAAAACAGCTGAATGTTGTCAAGCTTTACCGTATCAAAATTGGAGTCCTCTGACGGAGGCGTTTTGCACAATCTGCAAAAATGTATTTGGAACTTTGAACCATTAACTTTTTGACACCTATCACTGTTGGTTATGTTTCATCTTACAACAGCTACATAGAGGCAGTATTTAGTCAAATTGTACAATGTATGCATCAATATTAAACTAATTGGGACACTAATTTTCATTACAGATAACATCAAACAAAAAATGTGGGTACACTTTCAGTTATTGTGAAAACTTTCATCACCTTTCAATGCCTTAGCTCTGAAATGTAAATGTTTATACATATTCAGATTGAGTTATCTTTCTAAAATGTGTATAGTATGCCAAGTTATTTAGCTACGTGTATTAACACCACAGCATGGAGAAAGTCAAGAGGAAGCAGTGGAGTGAAGTGGACATGTTCCATGCAATGGAGGACTGCGGGGCAGGGATGGCTATCCGCCAGGCTGCCAAGGTTAGGCATCTTTTGTTTTTAGGAGATTACCATGTGTATGTGAATTTTATCTGCTAGTAACAGTTTTCTTTTCTTATCTACCAAGGTGCATGGTGTACCTCGGCAGACCCTGGCGGACAGGCTGAGCGGCCGGGTGACCCATGGTTGTCGCAGTGGACCACCCACATTGCTTGCACCAGAGGATGAAAATTATCTGGTGCAGTACTGTATCTACTGCGCCAGCCATGGGTTCCCCTTCACCAGACAGAGGCTGATGAAATACGCCGACAAAATACGCAGGTATTTGGTGTTCTATGTATTTATGTATGTAGATTGGTGGACTGACTGTTCTCAATGTGTGTGATGTAAATGTGGATGTGTATGGTGATGCCAAAACAAAATTTTCATCCTGGATGGACAATTATATATTCTATTCTATTGTAGGTTTCGGCACCCAGGGGGAACAATCCCACCACTGGGGAAGAGGTGGTGGGAAATGTTCAGGAGGCGGCACAAGAACCTGAGCATGAGTAGGCCGGACACCCTGGACAGGGGGAGTGCTGAGTGTGCCACACATCCGACGATGGACACCTTCTTCACTTCTTATGAGAAGCACTTGGAGGAGAGTCGGTTGAGGGAGAAACCCAGACAAATCTATAACTGCGATGAGTCTGGGTTTCGTAGCGACCAGAGCAGGCACAAAGTGCTGGCTCCCCGGGGCGCAAAACACCAAGGAGCACATCACAGTGCTGGCCTGTTTCAACGCAGCTGGGGAGGACGTCCCCCCCCCCCCCCGTTTATCATCTACCCCAAGTGTTTCCCCGGTGGCCACTACACACTGGGAGGCCCCCCCCAAGCCTTGGCTAGCAGTGGCTACATTGACGAGGACCTGTTCAGGAAGTGGTTTCAGCACTTCATTAAGCATGAAGTGAAAGAGCGCCCTCTCCTTCTCCTCTTCGATGGGCACAAGAGCCACATGGACCCAGAGGTGCTCGCGGCGGCACTAAGAGAAGGGGTTATACTTTTTTGTCTTCCACCACACTGCACCCATGTCCTGTAGGACGTGGCATACTTTGGCCCTTTAAAGGCTGAGTTCTCCAAGGTAGCTGGAGACCTTAGCCATTTTGACCACTCCTACATTGTAAACAAATCAGAATTTGCCAGAGTATTCTGCTACCCGTACCAGCGATGCAAGGACATGCGCTATGTGGTGGAAGGGTTTAAGAAGTGTGGCCTCTTCCCTTTGACCCTTCAGCCATTGAAGGGTCCCGTTTAATGCCGTCTCGGTCCCTACCGGGTCCCACCACCGCCTCTCCTGGAACCAGCAGCACTGTGCCGTCCATCAGCACTTCCTCCCCAGTGACCACAGGAGGACCCTCAGCCCCTGCTCCAGTCCCAGGCCTAGCTCTAGAAGAGCACCCCCTAATAGAGGGGGGGCTGATAGCGAAGGACCTGGGACACATCCGTACTGTCCTGTAGTATCAGCTGGACCGATACAGAAGACTCCATGTGGTCGCCACATGCCTCACCGGGGAGGAATACACGCGCCAGTGGTAGGAGAGGGGTGAGAAGGAGAGGGCAGAGGCAGAGGAGAAAGAGCGTCGGGCAGCCCTCAGAACACAGAGGGCACAGGAGAGGGCTGCCATGGATGAGACCATTGACGCCATCGCCTCTGCAGGACCCTCTGCTGGAACCACTCCTGACAGTTGCATCACCACTGCCAGTGCCTCCCAGTGTGCAACACCTGAAGGAGCCGCCGGAGTCCACAGCTGCAGAAGAAGGCCACGTGCCTGCTCTCCCGGCCACAATCGTCGGCCCCTCAACCCCACCATTAAACACCAGCTCCTCCAAGACATCGTCGGCGGTTTTGTCCACCACCACCACGATGCACACCACCCACCCTGTCTGTCACCGCCAACACAGCCTCCTCTGGACCAACTGCCTCCTCAGTCTCCCCTGGTCACACCACCATAGCAGCCTCGTCTGGTGTCCCTGCCCCCTGCAATTTGAATACCGCCACCTCCACAGGTAAACACATGTTAAATTACAAAAAAATGACTGTTTGTTATCTGTTTTATAAAACAGAAATGTAAAAAATGTTTTTATCTCTTTACATATCTACAGTACATAGCACCAGCCCTCAAGTCATCTCCACCTCCTCCAAAACCTCTGCAGCTTCCTCCAGAGGTATTGATGTAAAAAAGTTGAAAAGGGTTTTCATGAAACATGCTCTGTCTAACACTACTTTTTCTCAAACTGCAGCACAGAAAAGGAAGAGAAAAGCTCCACCGGTCACATCTGTCACGCCACCCATGGCACCACTCTCAGGTACTTCATCTGCTTTTCTCTCTCTCTCAGTTGTATCAATTACTATTGTTGCTGAAGAACTTCTACATTTTGCAAAACCATATTAATCAATTGTATTATTATTTTATTTTTTATAAAAGAAGACCACCTGCTGTGCTCGCTGCGGGGAGCATGATCCGCCTGCAAGCTCCTCTCAGGAGTGTAGATCCGAGGTGCCGTGGTTGTGCTGTGACTTCTGTCAGCACTGGTTCCACTGCAGGTGTGTGCAGTGGGATCAAGAGGTAGTGGTGGAGCTGGATTTCTATTGTGATTTTTGTGATAATATAGGGATGGAGGTCGAGATTTAATTGTTTGTTTTGTTTGTGTTCATATGAAATTATTTATTTGTACAAAAAATAAATGTCTAAAATATAATATATATATTTATTGAACCCATCTTGTGTATTTCTTCCTTTACTTTCCAAGTGCACCTCTGCAACACAAACTCCAACAGTGTTTTCATTGTTTATGTCAATGCACATAACATAAATTAGTTTTATTTGATGTAAATTATTAATACTCATATTATAGTATTCAACTGTTATATAATTTCTCAAAACATAAGATTAATCTGTAAAACAAATGATGAGACATTATTTGGTTACAACACTGAATATCCTCCTGAGAACCAAGGAAAATATTGTTTTTCCTAATCATATTTTTTGTGATTCAATAACTGTTTAGGGTTAAAAAAAGCATCCTACAATTTCCACATTTTAATTTTAATTTTTTATTTTACAGCATGTCCACTGTAGTGGACAACAGGATCATTTGAGTACGAAAAGAGACACATTTGGTAGATACACATTTTTACAGAGTTCTTACAGATTACAGAGTTTTTATGAACTAAGAATACATACATTTTGGGCTGTAGATTGATTATTATCCAAGAATACAGACATTTTGATTATACAATACACATTAATCATTCTTGAATCCTTTTCCTTACATTTCGCAAGGATAGCTTTACTATTAAAGCTTAACACTTTGTTATGTCCATATCCTTTGATTGGTCCCCTTGAATCCTTTCAGTGTTATTTGAACAATGAACATATAACTAATGTGTAACAGATTTATTTTGGATTTTTTCCTTCTGTCAAACTGAATCCAATCTAGCTTTTTCCTTCACTCTTCATTTTGTTCTTAGTATTTTCTTTGTTAGTGGTGAAAGTCCTGGAAGCAATTTCTCTTTTTGGTAATGCAGAGGAACATCTTGCATTTGGTACATCTCATGTACGTCTTGCTCTTGCAGCCCTTATTTCTGCATCTTTCTGCATGCTTGGTATCCATCATCTCAGGCATGTGCATGGCTCCTAGTCTGCGCACAGATGGCTCTGGTTGTGGGATCCTCATTTTAGATGGTGGCTCATACTCATCCTCACTCTCTTCACAGCTGTTTTCCAGTTCCGGACTCTCCAACAGCTCCTCAGCTAGGAGTAGTTTGAAGTCCAGGTACTGATGTGTGTTCTTGGATGGTCTGTGCAGAGCTTTGCTGTCAGACTGGTATTGTATCCAGGAGTTGGTGATGGCAACGTCAAAGAAGTGACTGATCACGCGCGATGTCCACTTCTTGGTCCTGCTTGACATACGATAGAAGCTAAGCATGCGATCACAAAGATCTACGCCACCCATGTTATCATTATACTGCTTAATTACTGCTGGTCTTTTAACCTGGACCAGGTGCTTTTCTTTCTGGGACCATCTGGTACAGATGTCTTCTGGGTTTTTCCCATGTACAGTGGATGCCATGAGCACTGGTTTGTTGTCGAACCATTTTGTGATGGCCAGCTCAGGACTCTTTCTGGCCACTGACACTGATGTTCCTCTCCCCTCTTTTTTCAACTGTTTGTCTACTGGCAGCTGGCACAGCTTTGGGACACGGTTCTTCATTATAGTTCCAGTTGCAGGAAGGCCCTTTGCCAGCAATGCATCCAATAGATCTATGGTTGTGAAGTACCTGTCAAAGAATATGTGGCTTCCTGTTGGAACAGATTCAACCATGCGTAGAACTGCTGCAGCTCCAACTCCTAACCTTTGGACTGTAAAGGTATTCTTCCCTTGGTAGACTTCAAAATCAAGCATCAGACCATTTGGGGATGCAAGGACAAAGACCTTTAGGCCAGTAGGGTTTGGCTTGCCGGGAACATATTGCCTGACTGGACAACGGCCTGTGAATGGGATGATTTGCTCATCAATGCAGACCCTTTCTGGCTTTGCAAGGCTGAGACAGCCTTGGCGCACACGATCGAGTATTGGCCTGACTTTCCAAAGAATATCTGCCTTCTTTGTTTCCTCTGTTACAGCCAGGTCATTGACAATCTTGAGGGAATTTCTTATCCTGAAGAATCTATCCCTAGTCATTTTGCTACTTATGACTGGCACTTTAGTTTTGTTGGGCCAAAACATTTTAATTCTGGGATAGCCAAGGCAGGCCATGTGGACTGAAATGCCCAAGAATATTTTTATTTATTGTGGCGTGGTGTTCATGCACACTCCTTTGATTTGCAGCTCTCTTTGATTTGTGTATGTTGCCAAATCTTCAAAGACCTTGTTGTCAATGTACTGTGAAAAGTATTCAATTGGACTCCAGTCTGCACGTGTTGTAGGGTCATCTTGACACACAGGAAGCCCAGGTAACACAGGTGCAAATCTGATATGAAGGAAAAAAGAATAATAAATGATAAGTAATAACAGTTTAAATACTCAATGCAGCTGAATTTAAAATTGTGGAACTGCATCAAACATACATGTTACTCCTGGCCCACAGAGGGCGACGAGTTTCCTGTTCATCCCTGTCTGTATCTGTGTCTGTGTCTGCATCTGTCCCTTCAACTGAGCCTTCTGCATTGTCTTCCTCTTCTTCATCACCGTTTTGTATCACTGGTTGAAACTTATCCTCATCTCTCTCATCATCTGACAACTCCAAATCTGAATCTCCCTCGACTATTCGGTAAAGAATTCTTTCTGCTTCAGTTCTGTTTCCTACGACAATGTGGAGTCATTATTTACATGAAGATAGTCCTGATGTCCACTATAATTGACATTCATAAAATGGCAAATCTTTCAAAAGATACATAATTTAGTTGCTATCAGAACTAAATATATGATTCCTAACACCTTCATGAACAAGAAAATATATGATTATCATAGTAACAAAACCATAGACAAACAATATTTGACTTACCTCTCATCTTTCCATAAAATGTGCTTGTTCCTTTGCCGTCCATTTTGAAAGGAAAGATAGAGGCGGTTCCCGGCCTCCCAGCCAATCAAATGACATATCACTGAAAAGCCCAGGATGTCCTCTGTACAGTACAGCAGGAATTAAGAGACTTGCACAAAATATTCCAAGAAGAGGGATGAAACTCAAATGTCCACAACAGTGGACATAAGTCAATGGGCGGGGTCTCAGGAGGATAAGTTGGTGAAGAACCATTTTTTAAGAGTCCACAGGAGGGCGCACAGGGCTACGCAATGAAAAGTAGACAGGCAAGTCATTATTTTTTACCGGAAGGCTAGCCAAGTAGTCAAACTATCTAGTAAACACTTCGGGTACGTGGTTGGTGTCTCTTTTTTGAACAAAATTAAACGGATATATGTTGTAATTGAACAAAATAGTAAGGTGGCCAATAACTGGGGGCCGTATGCCGATAATACGGGACCTATGTTTTTGCTAAACCGCTTATCAAAAAGCTGCTAATAGTAGTATTTCCACTGAAATGTCAAACTTGCTAATTGCTAACCCGTTAGCTAACATTTTTACGACACCAATAATCACATAACATTGATGGCTTGATCACAAGATAACACTGTTGAAGTTAATATATACTTTAAACGCTGTTGAATATGCCGAAAATACGGGGTTCCATGCTAGCTAAAGTTAAGCTTTAACTTGCAATGAAAACAACTTTCTGACAAAATTAGAAACGTATAATATCTGAAACTGTAGCTAGACTCTTACCCGTATACAAGGATGAACACTTAACAGCAGACTGCAACCCCTTTCATTAAATAAGACGTCCTGTGTCGTTTCCGTTTTGTTTGTACAGTTTGTTTGGCCCATTGTGTCAAGTCACTCTGGTTCACACTTACCGTGTGCAATGCATAAGAATAGTTCTCCTGAAAGTAGTTCATCACAACTTTTTCCCACTGACCTTTGTCGATAGCGCATGATAAATTCAGGGCAGCAATGTTATTGAGAGCAGTAGAAACACATTTGCAGTTCTCCATGGCTAACGTTATATATTTCGAAAAAAACTGCAGTAGAAAGGATTACGCTTCTTTTCTTCTTCAGTGGGGTTTATCGGCGGTTGGCATCAAACGTTTTGGTGCATTACCGCCACCTACTGTACTGGAGTGTGTGCCAGAGACAGGGAGAAACTAAATCCTACCTGCCAGCCCCGTTGCTCTTAAAAAAGATAACAAAATATATGTAATGGGTGAATAGTTATGCACGCTCAAGTTTTCTGTTTTTTTGTCTTATTTCTTGTTTGTTTCACCCCCAAAAATATTTCGCATCTTCAAAGTGGTAGGCATGTTGTGTAAATCAAATGATACAACCCCCCAAAAAATCAAATTTAATTCCAGGTTGTAAGGCAACAAAATAGGAAAAATACCAAGGGGGGTGAATACTTTCGCAAGCCACTGTATCTACACTACCAGTCAAAAGTTTGGACACACCTACTAATTTCAGGGTTTTTCTTTATTTTTCTACATTGTAGAATAATAGTGAAGACATAATAGTGAATCATATAATCTGAATCTGAGAAATTGACTCAGCTATCAAATACAGATGAAGACGGTGGTGTCTTTCAGCCTCTTCACCTCTTCCTGGTCAGCTGCAGACAGAGAAACATTACATTATAACTTTACATTGTGTTTTATTCTGTGTACTTCAGGTCTGTGTCATTTGTAAAGCATTTTGTTACATATACTGAAGAGAATCATGTTTGTGTATCTGGTTATCTTCTAGACTAAGAAAAGTATTCTCATCGATTCTCTTGCCACAATTCATTAAGAACACTGGCAACATGTTTATTTTGTATTCACCTAATTTATACAATAATGTACCAATGACTTACAAGGTAGGGGGTTGAGAGGGTGCAGGCCCCACAGACTAGACGTCATCACCATGTGCAGGTATCTAGAGACAACATGAGAGTCACAGTCAGACAACAGCCAGATATGATCTGAAGGTCTCTGAACTGTCACACTTTACTCACAGGAGGCTGATGTCTGATGGGAAATGTGTCTATGTCGTAGACCACCTCTCCAGGATCACCTGAGGGGTTGTCTTCACATTGGACTGGACCCTGAAACACAACACATAGTAAACATAGTAACCTACAGTATCAATGTGTCTGAAAACTGTTTTTAATCATAAGGAGTCACTGTTCATTTGTGAAAATAAAGATGTTCCAGAGACATTTTGTGTGTGTGTGTGTGTCTACACTCACAGGAAGAGTTGTGATGCTGGGAGGAGGGTTGGTCTCTCCAGAGAGGGGTTCTGGGACTGCCTGGTCAGGTTGCTCATTTGAGTGTTTATTCTGTAAATTGGGTTATAATTTATTACATTGTAATAAGTAATCAAAACATGTTAATATGATTGAGAAGTAGAGGAACAAAACAAGATGCCATTAGCTAAGAAACATCTGTCCTACAACCACGATGCAATAAAACATCTCATGTCTGAAAAGGCCATGCAATGGAGACGAAGCATTGAACCAAACTTAATACACAATACTACGATGCCTATAAAATAGCAGTATTTAGCCTCAACACATTTTCATAACAATATGCTGATTTTATCTTTACAAACTCTGTGCGATTTTAGGCTAAGCATGTCAGTCCCAGCTCTGAGTTCGACAATGGTGGCTGCAACACCAAATTCTCTTCACCAAAACATCAACCAAGGCCAAATCTAAACACTTGTTAATACATTTTTCAAAAAGCTGTGTTGTAATATAGTGTATGTGTGAATCACTAAACGTTTTGTCCCTCTTTGCTACGCTGATCTGCTCGACACGTGGTTTTCCTGTATCCTAGCACGCCTCATCCAAAAACATTCTAATCATTCACATTCAATATTCAAATGTCCCACAAGCAACATATCAGAACAAAGTACTGTAGCTTGGATGTCTTTTGACTAGCCAGATCACCGCATATATTCACAACATTCATCTGTAGTATCTGTTCTGTACTGTTGATGCTAAGCATGGGTGAGGACCACGTGCAGTCACTTGCGCTGCTCAGGATGGACACCGCCGCACGAAAGAAAGTTACATGACACTTCCAGTACACAACATATATAATGGTAAACAAACAACTTATGATATTAGCTAATACACTTACCACCATGTTACAATAAGCAACAATGTTGAATACTGAATACTGAGCTGAAGAAATGTCCTTTGACAGCGGTACGTCTCTTCCTGTCTTTACCTTGTATAGAGTGGTAGAAATTACCGGAAGAGACGTCAGGTAGTATCTTCCGGTAAACCTACAGAGATATACAGTACATACTCAATTCTAAATTATATTATCCTGCATAGATTGTCGTGTGTTAAAATGATCCCACAAATTCTCAATAGAGAATCTCCATTAAAAGTGTTTTCGATTTGGAATAGGCTTAATACGAGTCTGGAAAACCTGCCCCTCAAGTTTAATAGTGAGTAAAACTGGTCCAACATACCTTGCTTCTCCTTCATGTGGACCTCTGGGCAGGTTGAACTGTAAAATAATGACTATCTGTTCCATGACTAGTTTGAACACTAGTGGTAGCGTAGTGCTCCGGACTCAGGACGGATCCTAGTGGCAGAGGTTCAATCCCCGAGTCTTCCATCTTCCTGCCTGTTTCCTCTTCATGTTTGCTCCGAGGTTTTCCTACAACCCATGTGACGAGCAATATAATGCAAATGATGCAAATGAACTTCCTCATCCAAACCTACTTGACTCCTTAGCAGTTGCCATGGATATCTGTCATGCTGATCTCTTGTAATGTTTGACGTCTGTGTGTTGTGTTGTTCTATTTAACTGTTGTCTCCACCTCTGGACAGGCCGTCATTGTAAATAAGAATTATTTCTTAATTGACTTACTCCGACAACACAAAGAAGAAATCCAATGAAATCACTGTTTTTGACAACATACGTAATATAATATTATTTATGTGGAATACAGAGCCATACAGTTGTTTGCTGCTGTTGTCTATCCCCTGGCTGTGAGGAAGAGGAAGCGAGAGAGAGAGACTTGAGAGCTGGTAGTATGACTCGGAGAAAGGAGAAGAGAGAGAGATGAGCAGAGAGGGGAGAGATGATGGGGGGGGGGGGGGGGGGGTTTTTTTCGTTTTGGGGGGGGCTTTTTTTTGGGGGGTTTTTGTCCCCTTTTTTTTTTTCTTTTCGGGCGCCCGGGTTTGGGCCCTTTTCTTTCTTTTGGGGCCCGGGGTTTTTTTTTCTTTTTTTCCCCCGTTGGCTCCTTGGTTTTTCGTTTGTGGGCCTTCCTCCCCTTTTTTTTTGGGGTTTTTTTTCCTTCCGTTTTCCCCTCCGGGGGCTGTTTTTTTTTTGGCCCCCCCCTTTTGGGGGGTTTTTTCCCGGGGGGGTTTTTTTTTTTTTTTTCCCCTTTTTTTTTTTTCCCCCTTCCTTTTTCCCCTTTTTTTTTTTTGCCTTCCTTTTTCCCCCTGCCCCTTTCGGGGTTCGGCCCCCGGGTTTTTTTTGGGGGGGGGGGGGGTTTTCCCCCCCGGGGGGGTGGGCTTTCCCGGGGCGGGGGCGGGGGGGGGGGGGCCGGGGGTTGGGCGGGGGGGGCCCCGGGGGGGCTCGGGGGGCGTCCGCGGGGGCGGCCCCGGGAGTGAGAG